TGGGCCCTGAGATAGTCACTTCCTAGATAAGTCAATTAAAGTAGCCAAATTAAAAGTAAAAAGCAGATTTATTCAATGAGACCACATTGAGAAGACAAAGAGTGACCCCTTCACCCTCCAAATCCATCTCTGGGGTTCTCAAGAGGTTAAGGTTTAAGGAGAGGCCAGAGCTATTCATGCAGAAGCAGTCTCCAGTCAGGGTGTGGTCCTACCCACCATTGACCTATTCTGGGGGAATTTCAGTTTTATAGGGGTCGGTTGTTACCACAGTCTAACCAGGAGCACAAGTGTCTCTGCAGAATGTCTCCACTTCACCTTAACCGGTCAGTCACACCACCCTGCCCCTAGCCCCGGCCTTGGGCTCTTGAACACATCCTACTCTGTCCAGATCCTCAGCTCAAGCTTGCACAAATGGACAGAGTTAAAGATCCCTCCACTCTGGGCTCACAGCTCTATGGCCTGTCCCCAAGAAGGGCCTCTGGGGAAGCACAGAAAATCAAAGGATGGGGTATATAGAAGGGACGATGGGCTGGGCTCACTGAGAATCACATTAAGAGGATAACAGAGGAGGGTGTGGAGGGGATCTCAGCAGTGCAACATCATGACAACAAGAAGTGACAATGCCATTGTGGGGACAGGTGGAATGTGAAGATATTTGATGTCAATAGGTGGGACAGCGGGACACGTGTAATCCCGGCACTTGGGAGGATGAAGCAGGAGGATTGTGCATTTTAGGTCAATCTGAACTACATGGCAAGATTGGAGGAAGGGGCAGAGGTCATTTAGCACTTGGGAAACTGAAGCAGGAAGATTGGGAGTTCAAGGTCATTCTCAGCTCCATAGAGAGTGTGATGGCTAATCTTGGTCATTGACTTGACTACATCTGCAATCAACTAAAACCCAAGCAGCTGGGCACACCTGTGAGGGATTTTCTTGACTGGATAATTACAGTTGGGAAGACCCACCCTAAATCTGGGCCACATCCTCTGGTGGCAGAAGCACACCAATTGGTTATTCAACCCCAAATGGTCAGCCTTGAAAACACATACATATAACATCACACAGAATAAGTAGGCTGTAGTTCTGTATTTAGGAATATGAACATGTGTGCATACACACACACACACACACACACACACACACACACACACATACATATGCAACAACAATTAGAGAAAAGGAGAGCAAGGGAGAGTGCATGGGAGGAGGGGTTGGAGGGAGGAAGGAAAAAGGGGAAATGATGTAATTATTATATATTCACCAAAAAAAATATGAAAAAAAAGACCATGGAAAAAAGAAGCTTCTGGTTTTTGCCTTCTTGCCCCCCACTTTCGCTGGCGAGGTCATCTATCCTTCACTGGTATTAGAATCAATTTTGGGGGGGGGCATTCCAACGTTGATTGAAGACCAACAGCTCTCTAGGAATCCTCCAGGACTTCAGTGCCAGATTGAGACTGCTAAAACATCCAGCCTCATGGACTGAACAACAAGCAGATTTCCTTTGTGAGACAGCCATTGTTAGACTACCAGGACCACAGACTATAAATCATGCTAATAAATCACACTCATGCACACACCTCCATGTAGATACACACACACACACACACACACACACACACACACACACACACACACACACACACTGACTACTCATTCTATAGTTCTGTTTCTTTAGAGAACCCTGCCTAATACAGTGAATTTGTAGACCAGCATAGGCTATGTTACCAAGGACCAAGAATCTTTAGAGATGGCTCAGGGAGTAAAGTGCTTGCTACACAAGGACAAGGATCTGAGTTCGGATCCCCAGCATGGCACTGTACACATGTGACCCAGAGAGGGGTTAAGGGGCAAGACAGGAAAACATCTGGATCCTGCTGGCCAGCTAATATAGAAAAAACAATGAGATCCAGGTTCACTGAAAGACATTTTCTCAAAAAATAAACTAGGGGTTATCAAGATTGCTTGGCAGGTGAAAACACCTGCTACCAACTCTGGCCACCTGGGTCTGATCCCTAGGACCTATAAGTTGTCTGTAACCTACACACATATCATGATACATGTGCACCTCACACACACACATAATACAAATAAATAAATATAAGCAATTAAAAGTTAAAATAGAAAGCAATATTTGACCTATGTTGACTTCTAGAACACATTCAAGTACCAGAGACCAAATAATTTGTAAAGCACAGTAGCTTAAGCCAGGCATGGTGGTACATGTCTGTCGTCTTGGCCCGTGGAAGGCCCAAACAGAGGTCTATAAGTGAGTAGAAAGGTATCAGCTCAGGACCCCTAAGGCCAAGTTCTCAGCACAAAGACTTATTTGTGGGACAGAGGGCAGGGAATAAGAGGCAAAGACAGGAAATAGAGGATGAGGGAGAGGGGGAAGAGAACAAGGGAGAGGGGACAGGAGTATTTGGGGGGGGTGTATAACAAAGGACTGCCTCTGGATAGAGAAGAGACAGACATGGCCCATAGGGAAATGGCAGTTTATAAAGGCACAAGGGGAAACCCCGTGTTAGGATGAAGTGTTTGATTTTGATTGAGCACGTTAATTAGGGCAGTCGAAGGGGCCTCTGATTGCTGGACTTCAATACTTTGATAGCTGGACCCTGGTTATCAGCCTCAGGAGGAAGAAGTGGCCAAATAAGGGAATAGACCTCAGTGGCTAGCTTTAGGAATGTAATCTAATGGCTTTTAGCAAGGCAGAGGGCATGGGGAAGAAGAGCAAGGCCTGTCAGAGCCATGTTTGCCTTGCTCGAGCTGGCCAGAGCCCCTTCAATAAGTTAGTAGGGAAGCTAATGTCTGGTGACAAAGGACATGTGTATGAATGTGTCAGATGAAAGATCCAGACTTGGTGGTCCATGTCTGCAGTCCTGGCACTCACCAGGCTGAAGCAGACAGATCACCTCAAGTTTCAGGCTAGCCTGAGTCACATAGTAAGACCCTGCCTCAAAAAGAAAATTAGACAAAAAGTGTAAGGTCCTCGCAGGTACAGGGTAGTTAGTAATGGGGTATCAAAATAAGCCTGAGGTTGTGATGGGCTTCAGCGGGAGTTAGTGCAGGCCAGAAACACTGATAAGAAAAGGGAATTCAAGAGATACTGGGATTGGGCTGGGGAGATGGCTCAGCTGATAAAGTGCTTGAATTGCAAGCATGAGAATTTAAGTTTGATCCTTAGAGTCCCTGTTTAAAAAAAAAAAAATGCCAGGCTCGGTGGCACATGCTTGTCATCCCAGATAGGGAGGGAGAATTGAAAGATCCCTGGGGCTTACAGTCAGACTAGCCTAATTGGTCAGGTCTGGTCCAGTGAGAGATCCTCTCTCAAAAACATGACTCCTGAGGTTGCCCTCTGGCCTACACACACACACACACACACACACACACACACCTCCCTACATATGGGACCTGTCTGGGTTTGCTTTATTACTATGATAAACAGCAAGATCAAAATCAACACAGTGGAAAAGGGTTTAACTGAAATAAAATGAGATATGATCTACGAAAGTCTAAACCAAGCCTGTCAAGTTGAAAGCATTCAACAATACATCAAATTGTTTTGTTTTGTTTTTTGAGACAGGATTTCTCTGTTTAGCGGTGGCTGTCCTAGAACTCACTGTGTAGACCAGGCTGGCCTGGAACTCAGAAATCTGCCTGCCACTGTCTTCCAAGGGATTAAAGTTGTACACCACCACCACCTAACACCACTTCAAATTGTTATAAGCTATTGATGTATTTACTTACTACATTCTAGAAGTGTGATGATGATGTATGGTCAGTACATTTAGCTTTGGGGATTACACAGAGAAAGCTAATGTTTTGGAGGAAAAGAAGACTAAAACAATTTGGGTTTGCGAGCTACATAGAATTTTGTTGGGTGAAGTAACAATTTTAGGTCCAAGAAACAGCTTCTGTCAAGACGCCATGTTCAGGATTATTGGTGGTGGGTTATTCCCAAAGCGGTGATGAAATTGCCAGAAATGTCAATGAGGGAGATACCTCTAGAGTTTGGGGAATGAAGTTCAGCCACAAAGGAGGGGCCTAAAGTCCTCCCATGAGGGGTTAGACACTGGCTCAGGAGTAGAGCCCTTGCCTAGAATACCTCAGTGGGGTAGGAGTGTGGCTCATCAGCAGAGCACTGGTTTAACATGTGTGAGGTCCTGAGTTCAATCTTCAGTGATTGAGCTGAAATGTGAATTCTACAGCTTCTCTGTGCTAAACGCTTCATTTTGTCTCAGAGGAGGTAGGTAGTGTCCCTGAAGATAACTGAGGCCATCCTCTAGCCTGCACACTCATGTGTAAACACACATTAAACTAAGGGCTGATGTATGTCTGTGTGGAATTTTTCTTTTTTTCTTCTTCTGTTTAGGGATTTTTCTTAAGTAATTTGAAGTGGGAAGACCCACCTTAATCCAGATCTTTTGAGGTGAGAAGATCCACCTTGAGTATGGCCCACAGTTTCTGGTGGCAGCCTATGTAAAGGGCATGCCTGCCTGCGCCCACGCTTGCTGGCAAGTCCATTCCTTCACTGGCACTAGAGCCTCCTCCTTCAGGATTCTGGCCTTATTCTGAAGACCAGGTGAGACAGGCAGCCTTGGGACGGAACTACTGGATTGACTTTCCTTAGTTCAACAGCCATTATTGAACTAGCTGCACCACAGCCTCTAAGTCACTCTAATAAATCATGTATGTATGTATGTATGTATGTATGTATGTATGTTTTATTCCTCTAGAGAACCCTGACTAATACACAGGTGAATTTCCAATGCCATACTCAGAATTCTTGACCCAGGGAGAAAGTGGCAGGAACATGGGAAATGGAGACAGTAACATGCCCCCTAGGAGGCCCGCAGTTCCAGGAACCCCTTCCATCTTTGCAACTCCTTGGAGTTGCAAGCTAGCTTCAAGCCTTCCCTCAGCCTCAGCCTCTCTCAATTCTCCCCGCCCAGGCTCAGAGGTGCAACCGCACCCTCCCCCAAACTCCTCCCGCCCTCAATTCGGAACTGGGCACGCAGCGCTCAGCCCTCCCAGGCTTTCGCCTTGCTGCTCCGGGGGCCCCTAGCTTGCGCATCTTGTCAGCCTCTTCAAGCAGCCCCCGCAGGTAGGGAAAGGCGGGCCTGTGAACCAGTGCCCGCCGGAACGCGGAGGAAGGGGGGTGCAGCAGTAGCCGGCGGGAGCTCGGTTGGCCGGGACCGAGTGGGGGATTCCTTTGTCTGCAGCCCGGCAGCCCCTGGCCCAGCCCCCTTCCCCTCTCCACTATCCACTGGGCGCGCTCTTGTAGGGTGTAGGGAAACCCCGTACTCCACCGGAGGACTTGGGTTTCCAGTTTCTGATCCGCAGGTGAGGGCGGGGCCGAGCACCACCCTGAGGCTCCAAGGAGGTTCTGTAGCTTTGGCACTGGTGGCTGGAGGTCGCTGCCCGCACACTCTCAGGGGTGCCTCCTTCCTGGGACTCCCTTGTTCTCGCTGAGGCAGCGGCGGAAGCTGCAGGGAGGGGCGAGGGGGGCGCATCTTCTCATCCAAGTTCCGCTTGCCTTTGAGGCAACTTACTCACTCAGCTAATCCTGGGGACCTAGAGCTTGGAAGTAAGGGAGGGTCCCGTGAGTCTCCCTCCCCCTCCCCCTCCCCCTCCCCCCCCCCCCCCCCCCCCCCTCCCACCCCCCCCCCCCCCCCTCTCTCTCTCTCTCTCTGTATGTGTGTGTATACACACATACACACAAAAGGGTAGTGGTGAGAGCTGAAACTGCCAGGAGCAAAAAGACTGGCTAGGTCGATTAGATCCACTGGAAGCAAGACAATGTGTCCCTGTCCCCTTTCCCTGCCCAGTCGGGCCTCTAAGTGAGAGTTTCTCAACCTGTGGGTCTCGACTCCGCTGTCAAACCGTCTCCAAAAATATTTATTTACAATTTCATAACAGTAGCAAAATTACAGTTATAAAGTAGCAACAAAAATAATTCTATGATGGGGGTCCCCACACCACGAGGAGCTGTATTAAAGGGTTAATACGGTTACTACATTAGGAAGGTGGAGAGCTCTAAGTAAACAAAAGCTTGGGGACACCTGGTCAGACTTTCAGGTCACCTCAAGCCCCAGAGTTTTCACTCTGCAAACTGTTTTTGAAACGGGGCCCTTACCATGTAGCCCAGAGGAGCTTAAACTTGCTGTCTTCTTGCCTCTTCTTTTCCCCAAGATGACATTACATGTATGCATCACCACACCGAGTTTATGCAGACCTGGCCCTGGAGATCGAACCCAGGGTTTCATGCATGCTCCATCCAAACCTTTTACAATATGATATATAATATATAATATAATATAATATAATATAATATAATATAATATAATATATCACTACTTTTATTACATTTTAAAAATGTTTAGTTTATGAGCCGGGCTGGGGGTGGGTGGGAAGAAGCATGTATTGAAGTTAGAGAGCAACTTGTGGGTCTGTGTAGATCAAACTTAAGTCCTCAAGTGCCTTTACTGGGCTGAGCGTTCTCACTAAATCTACTCTTTGGGGGAATCATCTCAACCTAGAGTGCTCCAAACCTTATCTTCCCACACTCATTCTTCCTGGCCAAGGAAAGAGAGCCAACCATTCTGGGAGTGGGTGGGTGGCTGAACCTTGCATCTTTGGACGCAAATGTTGTCAGAATGCCCAGCTGCCTCCTTAGATTTATCCTCTTATTTAAGTGTGGAATGTGTAGTTGTGTATGCATGTGTGGTTGCACACATACATATACTTGTGGAGGCCAGAGATCAACCTCAGGTATTGGTCCTCAGGCACCATCAACTTTGATTCTTGAGACAGGGTCTCTCACTGACCTGAAACTCAACCAAGCAGGCTAGACTGGCTAGCCAGTGAGCCAGGGATGTGCCTGTCTCCTCCTCCCCAGTACTGGGATAAAAAGCATGCACCATGGGGATAGAGTGGATGGCTCAGTGGTTAAGAGCATTTGTTGATCTTTCAGAGGGCCTGGGTTCAATTCCCAGCACCCACATGGAGGCTTAAAACCAACTACACTCCAGTTTCAGGGGATCAAATGCCCTCTTCTGGCCTCCTTGGGCACCAGGCACTTACATAGTGCATAGGTATATATGAAGGCAAAAATAACCATACACATAGAATAAAACAAAAATATTTTTTTAAAAAAGAGCACAAACCACCATGCTTGGTCATTTTACATGGGTTCTGGGAGGTAAAATTCAGTTCCCCATGTGCAAGGCAAGCCCAAGCCATATCTCCAGTCCTTAACCACCCCTTCTCTCAACAATCCCAGCCAGAATTCTGGGGGTCTACTCCATCTTCCTCCCTCCTCTGGAATCCCCACCTACTCTTGTTGACTGTTTGACTTCTACATTATTCCTTGTTATCAACCCCCCCCCCCCCGGTCATCTGGCCCTGCCATCTCCCCACCCAGCTTTTTCTGGGGACCCCTACATCTTTTCCTCACTTCATCTTTGTCCCTCACCAAAAACATTTCAAGAGTTCTTCATTGCTCTCAATGTACATGGACCCACCTGTCCCTTTCTCCCGCTCTGCACCCTCTTTTTGGTCACAAACCCTCGACCCCAGAATAATTATCTAAGTGGCTTCACCTGTGAAATATTATATCCTGAGACTAGAAGATAGCCCAGTCAGTAAAACACGTGCTCTGTAAGCTTGAAGGCTTGTGTTCAATCACCTGGGACCCACTTAAAAATGATAGCACGGAGCATGTGGAGATAGAAGGATCCTGGGGCTCATTCACCAACCAGCCTAGCCTACTTGGTGAGTTCCAGTCCAGTGAGAAGCCCTGTCTCAAAAAACAGTGTGATAGCTCCTGAGAATGACGGTAGATGTCGCCCTGTGGCCTGCATATGCAGACATGACAAACATTTAAAAAAAAAAAATACTCTTCCAAGAAGCCTACCTCAGTTGTTCTCCTGCTCTCCCAAGTCAGAACTGGTGTCTTCCCAGGCAGGCTTCCCACTGCTGTCCATTCTGTGGGGTGCCCCTTTGCCATGCAGTTTACTTGGGGCTGACTCTGCTTGCTCCTTGCAGCCTCCAAAGACACATCATGACTCTGGAAGGCCCATGTTGGGCAAGGAGAGGATCTGGAGACTTCCTTACAGCCTGTGGTCCTCCAGCTCGGATTCTGCTGGCCTTGGTGGTTCTACTGTGCATGGAAAATGGCCAAGGCCACTGGGATGAGACCCTGGAATCTGCAAGTCCAGGTCATGTGAGAAGACGAGGCAGGCCTGCCATCGTTTTGCAGGGGTGTGTGGTACCTGGGATGCTGAAAAGTACCTGGGGTGTGGGGCATGGAAGGGCTATCCTGGGGTGAGGGGACGGGTGGCTACATCACCCACTTTCTCCCAAAGGCCTAATGTATGTGGTTCCCGCTTTCATGCCTACTGCTGCCCTGGCTGGAGGACTCTGCCTGGCAGGAATCAGTGTATTGTGCGTGAGTGTTGAAGCGTGGAGATGGAAGGTACAAGCAGGGGATGCTTGGGGGTCCTCCCAGCCACCTGTCAGCAATCCTAGCCTTCTCTACATAAGGAGCTGGAACTTAGTTTGGGGATGCTGGGTGAACCCCACTAATGTCCCATGCTTTTGTCCTTAGACTCCAGGTGACTTGTTGCATTCATTTATCTCTTTTTTTAAAATATATTTCATTTATTTTGTTGGGTGGGTGAAGCATGCCATGGTGTACATGAGGGCAACTTGCAGCAGTCCATTCTTGCCTTTCACCATGTAGGTCCTGGGGATCAAAGTCATCAGGCTTGGGAGCAAGTGTCTACCTTCTGAATCATCTTACCTACTCTGCATTCATTTCTTTTGCCCTCCCATCTTGCTATGTCTGTCTGGCTCTCCTGTCTTCTTGTCTGTTTGCATGTCTCTTCAGGCCTCTCACACTGTCTTTACATCAGTCTCACACCCTCCAGCTTCTCTGTCTCTAGATTGAATCTACTGTCAGAGTCCCCACCACTCCAGGCTCTGTGCCCTGAAGTTTAGCCCTTCATGCCCACATCATCTCTCCTGATGATGTAGCAAACTCCTGGAGCTGAAGGTCACAGCCTGCCCAGCCTAGATAGAGACTTGGGGGTGTCCCATGTATGCAGGGTGTGAGTAGAACTGAAGTTGGAAAAGCCCAGCTGGTCCACCTTGAGGCATCTGCCAGCCTGGGCATCTTTGGAGTGAGGATGATATAGGACTTATGTCCCTTCCCCTCTCCCTTCAGCCTTCCCCCTCCATTCCTGCTCTGTTCCGTTCCGAGTGCTGGTATTATTTAGTCAGTTAATTAGTTATTACTGTGTATGTGCATGTTGAGTGTGTGGAGGCACACATGCCATGACACACATATGAATGTCAGAGGACAATTATGAAGTCAGTTCTCTTCTTCCACCTTTACATGAGTTCTGGGGAATGAGGTCAGGTCACCAGGCTTGTGCAGCAAGTGCCTCTATCCAATGAGTCATCCCAAAGGCCCTGGGTCCTGATTTTGATGCCGTACACTCTGCCTTTCCAGCTGTCTGCAGGCACACCTGTGGCAATGGCTTCTGCTTCCAGCCCAACCTGTGTACCTGTATGGACGGGACCCTGGCCCCCAGCTGTGGAGTAAATAGAGGTGAGTGGCCAGTGGCCTCCTGGGGGAGGAAGAGAAGACTCCAGGCATCTGAATGCCACTAGGAGCCCAGGTTGGTTTCATTGAAGGACAAGAGCCAAGCCAAGTAGAGGCTCTGGTCAAGCCTTCCTGGAACATCTTTACCTTACTGTGTTTTTCCTGATCCATAGCATCCCTGGGGTGTAGCATGAGCTGCATGAATGGGGGCAGCTGCCACGGGGAATCCTGTCTATGCCAGAAAGGCTACACAGGCGCTGTGTGTGGACAGCGTGAGTACCCCTATCGCTACCCTCACTTACACACGGAATCCTAGAGAATGGGTCTCTTCATCACTGGCCCACTGTTCATAAGTCCTTCATCTAAGACCAAAGATCAAAGGTGACATTGTTACAGCTGCACTGGGCGGGGGGGGGGGGGGGGGGGGGGGGGGGGGCGGGGGGGGGGGGACACGTGTCGGTGTTTGTGCAGATGCGCATGCATGTATGTGTGCAAGCATGTGTGTATGTATGCATGTGGAGGCCAGAGATCAATGTTAGGTATCTCCATCAATTGTTCTCCACCTTAATTTTTGAGACAAGGTCTCTTATTGAACCTGGAGCTCACCAATTCAGCTATGCTACCTGGCCAGTGAGCTTTCAGAGACCCATCTGCCTCTGGCTCTCCAGCGATGGAATTACAGAGTACCATTGCTTGTGGCTTTTGCATGGGTGCTGAGAATCTGAGATCAGAGTCTCGTGTTTACACAGCAAGCACCTTGCTGACTAAGTCATCCCTCATCAGTCAGTCTTACTCACCCTGGTCCAGATGGCGGGTATCCCTGGATAAAGAAAGGATAAAGAAAGATCCCAGTCCCCTCTGCTTCTAGGAAACCATCCATCATCCTCCCCTATCTGTCCATAGCTATCTGTGTCCACGGCTGCCGTAATGGAGGACGCTGCATCGGGCCAAACCTCTGTGCATGTGTATATGGATTCATGGGGCCTCAGTGTGAGAGAGGTACTGAGAAACTTGGGGAGGAAAATGGGCAGTGAACAAAACATGGCTGGCTTCCAAGCGCAAACAGGCAGCTGCTTTGCTACTTCCAGGGCAGTCTGAGGACAATGGCTTTCCTTTGCTCATCCACTCTGCATAGCAGCTATTGCTTTGGAAAAGTTTGTGTTGGGGAGAGGGGGACGGATGGAGAGATGGCTTCACGGTCAAGAGCACTTGCTGCTTTTTCAGAGGACCCAGGTTCAATTCCCAGCATCCACATGACAGCTCACAACTGTCTGTAACTCCATTTCCAGCGGACCCGACACCCTCACACAGACTTGGTAGCACATACCTTTACGAGCTGAGCCATCTCACCAGGCCCCCTTTTTACCTTTTATTTTTTAAAAGGTTTATTTTACTATTTTAAAATTATGTGTATGGGAGAGTATGTGTACATGAATGCAGGTGTCCATAAAGACCAGCAGAAGGCATCAGATCCCCTGGAGCTGGGAGTGGTTGTGAGCTGCTTGATATGGGTGCTAGGAACTGAAGCAAGAACAGTACACACTCTTAATTGCTGAGCCATCTCTCCAGCACCATAAGGAAATCTTTCCTCCCTCCTTCCTTTCCTTCCTTCCTCCTTCTCTTCCTTCCTTTCTTCCTTCCTTCCTGCTTTCCTTCCTTCCTTCCTTCCTTGAGTCTCCTCACTGTGCAGTCCTGACTGGCCTAGAAATGGTTATGTAGACCAAGCTGGCCTTGAACTCACAGAGGTGCACTTTCCTCTGCTCCTTAGTGCTCTGTTTACAGGTGTGCACCACAATTCCAGATTCTTTTTAACTCTTTGAGGGAGGGTTTTGCTGTGTATCCGAAACTGGTCTTGACTTTGTAATCTTTTCACATTAGCCTCTAAAACAGACAAGATTACAGGCATCCACCATCATACCCAGTTGAATCCTAGCTCTTAAAACTGTCCGTTGGTGGATGTGAGTGGGATTGTGCAAACTAAACCAGTTGAAAAGGGCTGGGTGTGGGGTAGAGAGAAGAGGGGTGGAGCTGAGAGTTGATCTGGTCTTGACAGTTGAGGTAAAGACAGTGTATTAGGGGCAGGGAAAGGGAGACCTTGATCTCACTACTAGCTAGGGACCTGCAAGAACCTTAGAAGGCCACTGAGGCTGCCCTATCCATGAGGACTGAGTGCTTGGAGCAGCTGAGGGAGAAAATAGAGGGCAAGGAGAGAGGGGAGCCTGGCATCTCAGGGCAGACAGGAAGCGTGGTGTCTAAAGGGTGCTAAGGACAGCTGATAGGAGGGCAAGACTTGGGCCAGATTTTCATACACAGTTGTCAGAGTCATTTGTGTAGTTGAGGAGCCTAAAGGTGAAGGATATCGGGGCCCTGAAATGATGCCTGTTGTGGGAGACGGCAACAAGGGACAAACTACAGCTGTAGCTTGAGCCACATGGTTTTACTCTGTCTCTAAACATAATAAAGAGGTCTTTGGAGTGACTTGCTGGGGAACACTGGCCTACAGTCTCCCAGAGAGGAGCTACAGGTGAGACTCAGCCCAAGGGCACCCACCTAGAGCCCCCCAGTGAGGGGCTGGGGTTATTGATGGTGGCAAGGGTCAGTTTCTAGGTCGAAGAGAGGCTTGTCATGAATTGGAAGCTGGAGGGGCTGCAGGGTGTGTGCCTGTGTTCTAGAATGTCTTTGGAAGCACTTCAACCAAAAGAGAAAAAATTAGAATATGGACTGTCAAGATGAAGAGGGTGCAGGTCAGTGTGTGGCAGGGGAGGGGGGGCATGGGGGGGAGGGGGGGAGAGGAGGGAGGAGGAGGGAGAAGAGAGCCCAGGGTGGGTGGTGGGCATCAAAGCCCCAGGAGGGCAGGGTACCAAGCTACCTCTGAAGCCCTCCTTTATGCAGGGCCTAGAAAGCAGAGTGGTTGGCTTCTCCTGGGAGGACTGCCCTTGGCATTGTGCCAGCCTGATTATCGGAAAAATCTGAAGGGTGGAGACAAGAAGTCACAAATGGGCCCTTGTGCACTGTGCTTGGGAAAACTGATGCAGCTCCCTTGTGCTAGGCCTGAGGGTCCAGGGACATGGTGCTATGAGAGTCAAGAGGAGATTCGGCAGGGCCAGGTGTGCACTGAAGTGTGAGGTAGGGTCAGGTGTGCACTCAAGTGTGAGGCAGGGCCAGGTGTGCACTCAAGTGTGAGGCAGGCTCTCCTGCCAGGCATCCACTGTCTGTGCTTGAAGGAAGGGCAAGAGAGATCAAGTCTAAGAAGGCTTGAAGATTCTCTTGGAGGTTATTTGTGTGAAGGTACCAAATATTTTGAAGAACGAATAGTAGTTTGTTAGGTAGAAAAGGCATCCTATCAGAAAAAGGAACTAGAAAGACTCATAGGAAAGAAAAAGCCAGATTTGTTGGTATAGAGGCCTGGGCACACATGTAGAGGGCAGTGGGACAGAGACAACTCAAAGCTAGATACTTGTGTCTGCCTGATCCACAGACTTCCAGATGGGGCCCTGCTTCCCCCAAGTGAGACCTGAGGGGTGCCAGCGCCAGCTGACAGGTCTCATGTGTACTAAAGCTCTCTGCTGTGCCACTGTGGGCCATGCCTGGGGACTTCCCTGCCAGCTCTGCCCGGCACAGCCACACCCCTGCCGCCGAGGCTTAATCCTAAATGTTCACACAGGAGCCTGCCAAGGTGAGTTGTGGGGTGAGCAAGGGAGAATGGAGCCCCTAGGGAGCCAGAGCTGAATGGAGATTTCCCCCAACACACACACACACACACACACACACACACACACACACACACACACACACACTCATACACCACACAGCACCACCCACCCACACACGCCATACACACCACACACCACACACGCACACCCCCACCACACAACACAAACACACCATACTACACATGCATACCACACACACACACCTTACCCCCACACACACAGACCACACACACCACACACACCCCATACACATACCACACACACACACCATACCCCCACACACACAGACCACACACACCACACACACCCCCACACACATACCACACACACACACCATACCCCCACACACACAGACCACACACACACACATACCACATACCACACACCACACACACACCCTACACACATACCACACACACACACACACACACACACACACACACACACACACACACACACACCATGAGTTGGTTCTTCTCTCTGACTCCCTTTCTGGAATTTATCCCTGCAGATGTGGATGAGTGCCAAGTCATCTCAGGCCTGTGCCTGGGTGGCAGCTGTCTCAATACAGTGGGCTCCTTCGAGTGCCACTGTCCTGCTGGACACCAGCTCAATATCAGAGGCACCGAATGTGAAGGTGGTATATGTTATGTTATCTTGGCTCCCTGCAGAGGGCTGGAGGGATTGGGCTGATAAGAAGCCTGGCTGTGACCCTGTCTGTCTGTGCAGATCTGGAGGAGTGTCTTAGTGTGCCAGGACCCTGCTCTGGGGGTGACTGCACACACACAATTGGGAGCTGTGTGTGCATCCATCACTGAGGCTTTGTCAGCAGGCTGGATGGAGCCCACTGCCTGGATGCGATGGTCCAAGGGGCAGAAGAGGGGCACAGTGGGCAAAATGCTTCTCTCACCCCAAGACCGTCACTCTGGTCCCTGATCCTCTGCTTTTCTTTTTTTTTGGTTTTTCGAGACAGGGTTTCTCTGTGTAGCTTTGTGCCTTTCCTGGAACTCGCTTTGGAGACCAGGCTGGCCTCGAACTCACAGAGATCCGCCTGGCTCTGCCTCCCGAGTGCTGGGATTAAAGGCGTGCGCCACCACCGCCCGGCTCTCTGCTTTTCTGTACCCCTGTTTCCTCCCATCTAGCATCCAGCCTCTGTGCTCTCACAGACTCTGATCTGGGGGTCCTTTTGACCTTCTTTTGTGTCCTTTAGCAATCTGATCTCCCACCTCAGCCTCTTGATTCCTCTGTTCCCCATCTTCCTACACACAAACATGCTCCCACCATGCCTGTCTGCTTCTCTTGTCCTATGCCCTTTGGGCTCGATGGCCATCTTTACCCTACTATCACACTTTATCCTTAACTTCTGTTCCCCACACACAATTGTCATGAGCTTCCAAATCTAGACATTTTCTGGGGCTCACAAAGCTGCCTAGGAATATGGACGGGGATGGAAGTGGAGGATGGACAGAGCTCTGTTTGCAAGGAAAAGGAGGTGTGGCCCATTCCCCGCATCACCTCAGGTGCCTCAGGCTAGGTCTGTATGAGATACGACTGAGTATATTGTGGTTGGGATTTGTCCAGTTTCCACCTCCAGGGTCCTTCGTAGCTAGCTTAACAGGAGGACCTCAGCATGTCCTCTAGATATCAAGAGATTGATCCAGCTACTCAACAGCAGTTTTTATTTAAACAGAATCCAATTGTCTCCAAACATGGGCTATGATTTGGTCCTGGGTGTTTTTGTTTGTTTGTGTGTGTGTTTGTGTGTGTTTGCCTACATGTATGTCTGTATATCATATGGATGTCTGATACATAAGGATGCCAGAAGAGGGCATTAGATCCCTTGGAACTGGAGTTACAGAGAGTTGTGAGCCAAGTGAAGATCACACACACACACACACACACACACACACACACACACACACACACACATCTGGGAGACACCCCCCCCCCCAGATGCACAGGGTAAAATTAGGATGGTGTGAAAATTGGCATGACTTTCCAGCATAGTGTAGTTCAGGAGCAGCTGCCGGCAGCCTTCTCAGATGGTAGGAGTAGTTTCTCAACCAAAGGACATTAGCTAATATTTTCAGGAGAGAGAAAATATTACTCCCTACAGAGGAGTGTCTGTGATTCTCATGCCAGGGTAACTTCTGGATCAGTTTCTTCAGAGGGCAGTGGCTACTAGAGCATCCACTTGCCCCTTGGGAATGCTTCTCCACACTTCCCTGTGATAGCCAAGGCCAGCAAGCAAGGACTTATGGACATGTTCTCCACATCTCTGCTTGAGTTGGCAACAGGGGCTCCCACCCTTCTAAGAAGTAAGAGGTCTTCCGCATTGTGCTTGAATTCTCCGGGAGGGAGAGGTGCTGGGACTGTGGTCCAGATGAAGCCCAAATTTATCGTCTATAATGATTTAGAAAGCTTTAAAATAGGAGGTACTGAGCAGGGTTTACCCGTGTGTGTGTGTGTGTGTGTGTGTGTGTGTGTGTGTGTGTGTGTGTGTGCCCACGCATGTGCTTGTGGAGGCCAGAGGTCAGCCTTGGGCATTGTTCTTCAGGCACTATCCTTCTTTTTAAATATTTTCCCCAAGGTTCCATAGTGTAATGGTTGTCATGTCTGCTCTACCTGCAGAAGGTCCTGGGTTTGAGCCCCAGCGGAACCATGATTTCTATTGTACTATTTATTGTTTATATTTTGTTATTTATGTGCATGTATCTGTGTGTGTGTATGCCATCTATGTGCAGGTGCCTGCAGAGCCCAGAGAGGGCATCAAGTCCCCTAAAGCTGAAATCACAAGTAGTTGTTAGTCACGCAGTGTGAGTGCTGGGAACTGAACTCAGGTTCTCTGGGAAAGAAGCAAGCCTCTAATCACTGAGAGCATCCCCTGCTTTGACTGCCCTTTTTTGAGCTAGCCTGGAACTCACCAAATTAGCTAGGTTGACTGGCCAGTGAACCCTAGGGATCTACCCCTCTCCACCTCCTCAGTGCTGGGGTTGGAATTGCATGCCATCACACTTAGACTGTTTGCTTTTTGTGTGGTTCTGAGGCTCAAACTCAGATCCTGCGCTTTCCATCTCTCCAGTTCAATGCCAGACTTTTCTTCAGAGTAACACTCTCCTGAGGCACTGTGGGTGCTTGGAGCACCCTCATTTGTAGATGGGAAAACAGAGCTATGACAGGCAAGGAGAGCTGTTCTACTTGTTCTCCTGTTCAAGGAGAGCAGTGCAGGTACCACTGGGATTTGAACCCATCTGTGCCCAGTCTGTGCTAACCAGCCCCACCCTGTATCCTGTTGTAGATCGCCGGGTGGGCACCTGCTTCTCAGTGCTTATCGGGGGTCAGTGTGCTGCAGACCTCACTGGCCACTATACTTACGGACAGTGCTGCTGTGACAAGGGCAGGTGCTGGGCACCTGGTCCATCACCAAAGCTGTGTCCCCCACGGGGTTCTGGTGAGTGATAGTTTGAGCTTATATTGTGGGTGGGATCAATAGCCTGGCTTCAGATTGTGTTCTATTATTTATTATTGTTGTTATTATTATTATTTTATTATTGTGTGATGGGAGGACCATACATGTACATGCATGTGGAAGTTAGAAAACAATTATGTGAAGTTGATTCTCTCCCTCTAGCTTTACTCAAGTTTTCAGGCCTGCAAGGTAAGCACCGTGGGTCACTGGCCTTCAGACTCGGTTCTTTGCAGGTGAATTCCTGAGACTGTGTGCCCAAGGGCTCCCACTGCTACCTGCCTATGCAGACCTCTTCCCTGGACTCTCAGAAGTTGGATTCAACAACCTGGGGCCTGCCCTGAGGCCAGCACAACACAACCCCCATGGTTCCCGTGGGCATGTAGTCCCCACACTGATCTCTGGCAACTCCAACAACGGTGAGCCCTAGTGGGGTATGGGGGTTTCAAAAACTAGGGCTGGGCTTGAGTGTGAGGAAGCAACCCTGAAGAAGGGAAGGAGGCTTCTCTTTGATGGAGTTGGGGTTTTGGATAAGGAGTCCCAGGGTGAAATTATAGTTGAACTTCCATATCTACTATTTAAATTAATCTTAGAAAATATTTAGAAAGGAAACATCTTTATTAAGTATATACCAACTGTTTTCTTTGTTTTATAAATAATGTATAAGAACTATTTGAATGAACTGGCCCTTCCAGAGATCCCAGTTGGGGGCCTACAACTGCCTGTAACTCCAACTCCAGAGAATCCAATGCCCTCTTCTGGCCTCTGAGGGAACTGTACACATATGTGTATATACACATGGGCATAAAAAAAGTAAATCTTTTAAAAAAAATAGATATTTGCACATACATTCACACACCCAACCACACACATACACAGTCACACATAAATTCTCTCTCTCTCTCTCTCTCTCTCTCTCTCTCTCTCTCTCTCTCTCTCTCCCTTTCTCGAGTACACATGCACAAGGAGAATATTAGCATAACATTATATTGTATCAGGAACTATAAGTTATCTATTACTATTTGAAGTCCACATGAGGGACCTGGGGAATGTGTCTCAGTTGGTAGAGTCTTTCCTAACACATGTGAAGCCATGAGTTTCTTCTCCTGCCCAATGCACTGCATAAAACAGTCATGGGAGTACACATTTGTTATCTGAGTACTGGGATTTGAAGTTCAAGGTCATCCTCAGCTGCATAGTTAATACAGAGCCAGCCTCGGCTTTGTGAGATGCTGTCTCTAAACAAAAACTAAATAAGGACCTTGGAGATGACTCAGTTGTTGAAGTGTTTGCTCTGCAATGAGGACCTGAGTTCAGTCCCCAGAACCCATACATTTAAAAATCCAGATGTAGCGACATGGATTTGTAATTCCAAAGAGACAAGAGGATCCCCAGGGCTCACTAGCCAGCCAGCCTAGCCTAATTGGTAAGCCCTGGGTCCAGTGACAGACTCTGCCTCAAAAAAAAAAAAATAATAAGATGAGGGACTAGAGAGAGGGCTCAGTAGGTAAAGAACTTGATGTGCAGGAGTGAGGGCTTGAGAGATTTCCAGAACCTACATAAGCAGAACACAGCAGCACACATCTGTAATCCCAGTGAGTGCTCCTGCCGTAATATGGGAGAGAGAGGAGGGTCTTCAGAAGCTCGGGGTCATCAGCCTGGTGATGTGAGACCCTGTCTCCAACAAAGCGGAAGGGGCAGCAGACTGGCACAGCATCCACACGTGCACCTCATCTTATTGTTTGAGGCAAGGTCTCTCACTGGACCTTGAGCTCATCAATAGCATACACACACACACACACACACACACACACACACACACACACACACACATACACACACACACACACACACTAAATGTGCCTGTGAGAGACATTTTAGACTCAAACCCTAGTAAGGAGTCTTACTCTACACTGAGGCTCTGCACCCAAGGTGAGGGCCCAGTCCTGAGGTGGGTGTCTAGGCAAGCTCAAACAAGAAGATGGTGTCTGAGCCAGACATGTCAAAGACTCTTTTGGTGTCAGAGCCCAGAGGCAAAGCCCAGGCTCTGGGTGGGTGAGGGGCTTCTGGTGCTTAGGTATCCCTGTTGACTCCACTGCAAACACAGCCACTCTGAACCAGATCATGGACATCTGTCACCACTTCACCATCTTGTGCCTCAGTAGTTGCTGCCCTCCCACCCCTTCCAGCTGCCACCGTGAATGCAACTTGGGCTATACCTATGATTTACATGGAGAATGGATCAGCAAGGTGTGGCTGGGTGGGCACTACCCAAATGGGCTCAGGGTCTTTTGTGCAAAGATGTGAGCAAGTGTGCCAACAGTGCCATGGTAACTGTGCTAACACTCCTGGTTCCCACTACTGCCATTTTTATGAAGGTTTCTAGGCCATACTAACCAAGGAGGTGTATGTGGGTATGACCATCCATCCATTATCCACATACCCACCCATGTACCCACCAAACCACCTGTCCATTCACCCATCCATCCATTCACCCAACCCTTTATCCACCCACCCATCCACTCATTCCTCTATGCACTCATCCATCCACACATCTGCTCACCCACACATCCATCCTTCTGTCCACACATCCATCCATCCATCCATCCACCCACCCACCATCCATCCACCCACCCACCCACCATCCATCCATCTGCTCATCTACCTACCCATATAGCCAAATATCTATCGCCCATTGATCTACCCATTTACCAGGCTACTCATCCCTTATTTGTCACCCGTCCGTCCACCTAGCAACCACCTACACTTCTACCCCTCTCTCCATTCACCCATCCATCCATATGACCATCCTACCCATCTTCTATTCATCCGCCCATTCATTTATCCAAGAGTGGAGGAAATGAGGAGAGGGGGCCTGGTCAGGGGAAGATGATGATGCCTTCTGACTGCCTGTGATTTCCTCCCCACAGATATGGATGAGTGTATCATCCATGGTGACCTTTGCCACCTAGGCTGCCATATCAACAGAGAGGGCAGCTTTCAGTGTGTGTGCCATGCAGGTTTCAGGCTCAGCCCTGATGGGAGGAGTTGCAGGGGTGAGGTGAGGGTGTATGGGAGAGTAGGCTGTTGATGTGCCCAGGGTTCTGCAGATCTTGAACAGCTAATCACGGCTGCTGTGAGCTCAAGGAGGTCAGCATTCCATGTTGCTCCCAATTCTTACTCCTTTTCTGTCCTTCTCCCACAGCATCCCCTGAGCCTTGTAGGAAGTGATATGGACAGCCCAGCCATGGCCAGACACTCAACAGTCCTTTAGTCTTAGTGCAGTTCTTATGCTTGCTTCTGTGTTTTCTTTCTTTTGTCTGTGTGTTTGTATGTGTATGTACATGTTTACACATGAGGGTCCACATGTCTGGGCCAGTATGTGTGCGTGTTTGCTGGAAAGGACAGCAGAGAACAGCCTCGGGTGTAGTTCCTAGGGAACCATCCACCTTGGGTTTTTTTTTTTTTATTTATTTACCTATTTATTTCTTTTTATTTAAATTAAAATATTTTGACTTTTAATTATTATTTTGTGTAGGGGGAAGGGAGCACTTGCATGCATATGGATATCACTTTGTGGAGTCTGCTCTCCCTTTCTGTCTTTACATATGTTCTAGGGATGGAAATCGGGGTTTCAAGCTCGGGTCATCAGGCAGCAAGCCCCTTCACTCACTGATCCATCTCACCACATCCCTGACCTTTGAAGCTCAATGCCAGTAGCATCCCACTGCCCCATAATTGGTGTCAAAGGTCTCTGGGTAGCCAACCTTCTCAGGCATGTCCAGCTTTACCACCTAAGGGCTATATGTGCCCCATGATGGCTATTAATGTCTCCCAAAACATTTGTAGGTGATGTCATGTTGCAATGTCAAAAGGATGGATGCCCTTTAATCTAGATGCTAATGGGATATTTTATTTCCATATTCCATGTATGCGGTTAGGTGGGCTCACTGGCTCTTCTGGCCACTTCTTAGCCAAAACAATTTGTCAGCTAGTAGGAAAACTTATTCTGCCAGTACATCTTTACCTTAGTTCCTTCAGCCTGTTTGTAGCCCCCTCATGGGCTCTTTTCCTCGTCAGTAGACTGATGGGTCCTTATGACTCTTCTTGGGTTTATTTGCTTGCTTTTGAAAAATGCTCAGTGCATTGGGGAAATGGCTCAGTGAGTAAAGTACCTGCCACTCAAGCATGAAAACCTGGATAAAAAAAAAAAAAAAACCACGCGTAGTATCATGCAGGACAGGTGGGTCCTGGGGCTTCACTGGCCAGCCAGTCTAACTGAGTCTTCAGCTCTGGATTCAGTGAGAGACCCTGTCTCAAAATAAAAAATAATGTGGAGAGTGATTGAGTAAGATATCCAACACTGGCCTCCAACCACATATGTACCCACACATGCATGCCCACATGAACTTGTACACATACATATAATACACACACACAGTGTTAGGACAGTTTTAGATTCACAGCAAAAGTTGGTCTGGGGAGATAGCTCAGTGAAACACATGAAAATGGTGGCCGCCAGTAATCCCCACACGGGGGAGGCAGACAGGGGAACTCCTGAATAAGCTAGCTAGCTACACTTGCCTTCGACCTCTGAGTTCAGCTATAAATCCTGACCTCAATAAACAAAGTGGGGAGTGGAGAGAAAGACACACCAATATCAAGCATGTATGTGTGCTACACAACCACACAGGCAAAAAAAAAAAAAAACTGAATAAAGCCCTCTGCATTATGTAACCCATCTTGTCCTAAGTGCCCAGCATCACCACCATCGGCGTCTTGCAGCCAGAGCCACAACTCTGTTATATTGACACATCATCACGATCACCTCTGGGTTCCCATGAGACTCACTCTCAGGGATGTACAGGCTCTGTGGAGAAGCATACAATCATGCATTGCTTGACAAAGGGAGTACATCTTGAGAAATGGACCACTTGGTATTTTTTATATTGTCTCAACATTTTAGATCTTGTTTCACGTATGTGTGGCATATGTCAATCACTTTATGCTGTCTCTTGGTGCAGTAGAAGTCAAGGTTAGTGAGAATGACTTAGTTTTAGAATTTGCCGAGGACATTCCCAGCCCCTCAGTGATGGATTCTAAGCAAATTCTCTACTGTTGAGCCATGTCCCAGCTCCTAACTGGCAGATTCTAGACAGGTACTCCATTACCAGGCCCTCACTGGAAGATTCTAAGCAGGTGCTCTACTGCTGACCAAAACCTCTATCCATATTCTAGTATATTCTATTCTAGAATATCCTAGTATATTCTAGTCAGAGTCTCTACCACTGAGCCACATACCCAAGACCTTCACTGAGGGTTCTAGGCAGGAGTTCTACTGCTGAACTACAGCCTCAGCCCTCCTCTAGGCATTACTTTGAAATGTAAATGGATGGAGTTACTTAGAATAATACATAGTACATCCTAAGCACCCAGGCAGCGAGGTGACATCAGACTTCAGCATGAGAAAGCCACGTCTTTTCGCCCTTTGAATCTATCTTTGTTGGGGGTAGGTGTCTCAGGCAAGTGATACCAACTGACAAGTGTGCCGAAGTGTGACAAGGATAGGACCCAGTGATCAACCATTCCTCTGTGCAGATGTGAGGTTGGGGCTGTGTTTCCTGCGTTGGGGTGAGGAAGACTGTGGAATTCCCCTGCCTGGCAAGTACCAGATGGATGTCTGTTGCTGCTCCATCGGGACCTCATGGGGAGCTGAGTGCAAAGTTTGCCCAGAGCCCAGCTCCCCAGAATTCTCCAGCCTGTGTCCCCAAGGGCTGGGCTTTGCCAGCCAGGACTTCCTGTCTGGCCGACCCTTCTATAAAGGTTAGTCTGGGGAAGGGCACACCAAAGGAGAAGGTCTTGGAAGGAAAAGAAAGTTGGTAAAGGGCAGCATGGGCAAAGGCCTGATGGTACGAAGCATTATTTGCAGAAAGGACGTTTAGTATCCAAGGCATGGTGATATAAGACTGTCATCCCAGCACTCAAGAGGTAGAGGCAGGAGGACTAGAAATTCAAGGTCAGCTTGGGTTGGGCTATAGGAGACCCTTTTAGGACAAATCAAAAAGCAGGGTGACCTTTTGATGAAATGTTTGCCCTGCAAGCATGAGAACCTGAGTTCAGTGCCCAGCACCTGTGTAAATTGCTGAGTACAGGTTAAACGAGTATAATCTGACAGCTGACCAGACAGGGACAGACAGGCACATCCCTGGGGCTCACTGGCCAGCCAGCCTAGGTCAGTCCCAGGCCAGTGAGAAAACTTGTCTGAAAAAACAAAGATGATTTTTTTCCTCCTCAAAGCTCCTGAAGAACAACAGTTAAGACTGTATTCTGGCCTCCACATGCACACCCACACGCACACACACACACACGCACACACACACACACACACAAAGTGTGGTGGTACATGCCTGTCAAGCCAGTACTTGAGAAGTAGAAGCAGGAATTCAAGGTCGCCCTTGGCTGTATAGTGAGTTTGGTACTGTGTAAAAAAAGAAAAAGAGGGGATATCTCAGTGGGTAGAGGCACTTTCCTCTCAGCTGACAATGAGTTCAATCCTCAGGGCACACATAGTGGAAGGAGAGAACCAACTCTCAAATTTTTTTCTGACCTCCACAGCATGTGCACCCAGACACATGCACAAAACAAATAAATATGAAAGACTTGTAAGAGAGAGATGTTAGCAAGCTCAAGAGGTAAGAACCTAGGGAGGGCTTAGTGTGTGAATCCCAGACTGAAGACCTTCGGTGTGGTGTAGCCAACCTTGTTTATACTCTGTACTCCAGATGTGAATGAGTGCAAGGTGTTCCCTGGCCTGTGCACACATGGCACCTGCCGTAATTCCATGGGCAGCTTCCACTGCTCCTGTGACAAAGGTTTTACCCTGGATGCCCAAGAGAGGAACTGTACAGGTAGATGCCACTCCCTCCCCGTCTGTTGAGGACAGGTCATGTATACAGGAATTCATGTGAGGGGTCCCTGAATTGGATGTGAAGACAAGGCTCAGTCTTTAGTCTCCTCTTAGATACCCACTGATGAGCTGTGTGGCCTAAGGCAGCTCATCACCCTGTCTGGGCTGCAGGATCTCTACTGTCTCTATGGAGGGCTGGCCAAGATTACCTCTGAAAGGAAATTTCTTGCCCCTTTTCTGTGTTCACCTGAGGCACTTCTTCCCGGACTCAGCTCAGTTTCTTGGGGTTCCTGGGTAGCCCCTCATGTCTACAGAGACCCAGCCCCCTATGTCCTCTTACTTGAAACCCGTGGTCAGTGCATCCTCATGTCTGCACACACAGACCTCTGGCCCGTGCATCTCTGTCCCCACAGACATCGATGAATGTCGGATCTCCCCTGACCTCTGCGGCCAGGGTACCTGCGTCAACACCCCAGGCAGCTTCGAGTGTGATTGTTTTCCTGGTTTCACTAGTGGCTCTTTACTGATGAAGAACTGCATGGGTGAGTGGTGGCAGGGTGAGGGCCAGAAGAGCCATGGGCAGGGTGGATGGCCAGAAGAGGGGTGGTGAGTATGCTGCTGTGTAGATATGAGGAGAAGCTTCGGTGTGCCATTGTACTGCCGTGGGATACTGTCATTAGGAGAGCACATTGAGAATGGGTGCTTTATGGGAAATGGATAGGACTACCCCCCAGAGAAGCTATTTAAGAAGACTCTAGCTTGGGCATGATGGCATAGACTCATAATTCCATCCCTCAGGAGGCTAGGGCAGGAGGATTGCTAATTCTAGGCCAACCTGAGCTACATAACAAGACCCTTTCTCCAAAATAAAAGAGGCCCCCATCATTCAGTGAACAGTTCACACACATCCACTGGATTGGGGTAATGCAGAGAGCTTAGGCACCAAGGGCTTTGTGACTTTATGGGAAGACAAATGAAGTTGGTCTTGAAGGGTTAAAAAAGGCACAAAGTTGGGTGAAGTCAGGAAGGGAGTTGTAACTGGGAGTAAATTCTCAAAGAACTAGTTTAAAAAACATTCCTCAAGAAAACAAAATTACTATATGGTCCTATAGGAATGTACATCCCAGGGGATGTACCTACTCTGTGAGGTTGGGAAGGTGGCCGAGGAGAGTGGGAGTCAATGGGGTAGAGAGAGCTGAGAGGTGGCTGAGAGGTGGGGTGAGTGAGGTGGCTCAGTGGGTAAGGTTCTTGAGGCCAAGCGTAAAGACCTGAGTTTGGTCTCTGGAATCATACAAGGAGAAAAGGAACTGCCACAAGTTGTCCGCTGTGACCTCCACACACATGCCACATGGCTGGAGGAGCAGCGTGTGTGGTTGTAAGGAGATGACATGGAGGCCAGAAGGACACATGCAAAGCCCTGGGATGGGTGTGAGGTAGACAGATGTGTACGGCTGGAATGCAAACAGGGTGGGATGAAGGAGGTACCACACAGAGGAGCTTCCTGAATCATCCATCCTTGGGTCAGCATCACCAGCCTGCTGTCTTTCCACATGTCCAGATGTAGATGAATGTGCCAGGGACCTGCTGCTCTGCCAGGGAGGTACATGCATCAACACAGAAGGGAGCTATGAGTGCCACTGTCCCTCTGGACGTGAGCTGAAGGCCCAAGGCACTGCCTGTGAAGGTGAGCTTGCAGCAAGGTGTGCAAGAGAGTGGCAGGGTCTGGCACATGCTCACATCTGTGTGTCTATCCAAATTCACAGGGTAAATGTGAGATGGTGAAGTGCATTTGTGTGTCTCTGAAGATGACCCTGTGTGTGTGTGTGTGTGTGTGTGTGTGTGTGTGTGTGTGTGTTTGCATCCATGAGATTTGTGTGTTCATGTGAGTGTGAAATGTCAACATATATGCATGAGTAGTGGGGTGTATATTTGTGTCTCTATGTGTGCAAGGGAGTGAGGTGGTTAATATTGTTCACCTGACAGGATCTTGAATCACCTAGGAGACAAACCTCTGGCATGTCTGTGAGGAGTTCAAATTCCTAGATTAAGTTAATTGAGGTGGGAAAGCCCAGCCTGAATGTAGGTGGCATCATCTCCTCGTCTGGAGTTCTGGACTGAATAAAAAGGAGAAAGGGAGCTGAACGCCAGTATGCATCTTGCTCTGTTTCCTATGGATGCAGCATGACCAGCTGCCTTTTGCTCCTGTCACCATGACTACCCTTCCTTGATGGACTGTACCAACTGGGAGCCTCAATAAATGCTTCTGTCAGATATCTTGTCACAATGATGAGGAGAGTAACAAATACAAGTGGGAACTGTGTCTGTGAACACACCTATGTGAATATCTATGAGACTGTGTCTATGCAAAAGCAGATGTGTTTGTGAATCTGTGTGGAGGTGTGTGTGGCTGTACAAGGACAAATTTTTGCATTTGAGTATGTGTGCACATGGATGAGCCTGTAGGAGGACAAAAGTGTGAATACATCAGCAATGGCAGGCCTATGTATTTGCATGTGAGTGGACCGTGTGTGTGTGTGTGTGTGTGTGTGTGTGTGTGTGTGTGTGTGTGTACCTACAAGAGGATGTGTGGGGTTCTGATGCATGTTAATACAAGGGATATACATTCATATTTGAGATTCTCCTTTCTGTGACCAAGGCTGTGGTCCCACAGTCTGAATGGGTACAAACCATCCTGGCAGGGAAGCCATGGCAACAGGAGCAACTAGCCACATTGTATCCACAGTCAGGAAGCAGAGAGTGATTAAGAAATGCAGCTGAGTTATAAAAATCTCAAGGCAGGTCCACAATGACCCACTTCCCCTAGTGAGGCTCACCTCCTAACGGTTTCACAGCCTTCTCAACTAGCACCACCAGCCTGGGACCAAGTGTTCAATCACAAGAATATATGGTAAGTGTGAGTAAGTATAAGGATGTGTTTCTGTGTGCATTTATGTAAGCACACACAGTAGGAATGAATGTATCTGAGTGTGTCTGGGTGTGGGTGCATATTTGCACAAGGATGACTGTGTGAGTATAAGGTGTGTTTGTATCATGCACATAGTGTGAGTATGTTTCTTTGGGTGGATGCATGTGTCTACAAAAGTGCATGAGTTGGGTTGTGCATGATGAAAGGAATGTTTGTGAGCAGACAGGCAGTCAAAGGGTAGGGTGCTGATGCAAGCTGCCAGAGTGAGCTCATTTGGGATGTGTGTGATGGCAGACAGGGGATGAGGGACAGTACAGGCTGCTCCTTCACTCTGTCACTAGCCATATGTGTTCCTCCCACAGACATCGATGAATGCACTATGAGTGAGAGCCTCTGTCCCCATGGCCAGTGCATCAATGTCATTGGTGCTTTCCGTTGCTCCTGCCACACCGGCTTCCAGAGCACTCCTGATGGCCAGGGCTGCGTGGGTGAGACTATACCATCCCTTGGATACTCTCTGCAGTTCCCTGTGCAACACAGTCCCTCCCAGCCTTACTTCCATACTCCTCTTAGTTCCTGACCCTAATTCAGCCCAAGTTCACCAACCTGGTTCCCTCTGTCTGCCCTTGCAGACATCAGTGAATACCAAGTCCAGAACAGTGACTATGTAGTGCAGTACATGAACACGGAGGGAAGCTTCCAGTACAGCTGTTGGCAGGATGCCCAATAGGAGGGCATGCACAGCACAGTGGGTGTGACCTACTCCCTCTGCTTAGGATGTGAGCACCAGAGAAGGCCTGGGCTAGACAGCAACCTCACCAGAACCCTGCATAGCACAAAGCCAGGCATGATCAGCCGGATCCCAAATACCTAGGCCCTGGAAAAGACCCTGAACTCTTCCTATGTTCCTGTCCACCTTCAACCCATCCCCTATTCTTGCTTCTAAAGATGTGGATGAATGTGAAGACAACCTAGGCATCTGTGGAGAAGGCCAGTGTACCAACATGCCAGGATCTTACCATTGCATTTGTTATGACGGCTTCTCAGCCTCACCAGACATGAAGATTTGTGTAGGTAAGCAGCTGGGTGGTTAGGGACACACGATGAACACATCTCTTCATAGCCTGTGTGATTCTGTCATAGAAGCAGAGATCCGCCCCCAAACTTATTATGCACCTTTGCATTTATTGAACATTCACCATATGTCCAACACCTATCAGAGACTCACACTTCTTCCACGGGTTGTGCATTAATCTAACTACAGGCAAAGGGCTGTCGGTTGGTTGGTTGGCTGGTTGGTTGGTTGGTTGGCTGGTTTAACCAAAGATGTTGAGCATTGTTCAAAACAGAACGGTTTGTCGATCTCTATTTGAGGACCTCCCCAAAGCTATTTGGATAGCACAAATCCCTGTCTTCACCTGGCCACAGGCAGTCCTTCCACCTGGGGAGTGGATGTATACTGGGCACCCTGTCAGGGCAGAGCTGAGCTAAAACAGGCAAGTTCTAGGTGGTAACAACCCACCAAAGTCTTTTCCGAACCTAAGAGGTTCAGCTAGTAGGCATGTCAGAGAACACCTTTTAGAAGGTGCTAATGAGAAAATACAATTGAGGAAATACTTTTACCCAGAAGACATGCCCTGCTTTTTAACATAACAGAACATCACCTACAAAGGACATCATCATACTCCAGAACTGTGCAATTGAGTTACCCACCCCACAAAAATTTCAAACCAAATCTCATAGTGTTTATGATTTTATTTGGGGCCATGCCCATAACTATCCTACATGTAATCCATAAACCAAGGGTTAGACACCCCAGAACACCATCCAAACACATGTTGGCCTAAAAGCATTGGCAAAACCTGGCTAGCTTTGTGAAATGTAGGTGAGTGTGTAAGGCCTCTTTCCTATGCTTGGGGTGTGAGGACCAGAGAGGAAAACCTGGCTGTCTTTGTGAAATACAGCACTTATTACATATATTCGACCACTTATTCCTTTGGGGAACACATGCAAGGTGTGGTCCATGAAAAATGCACTGCAAGATGCCCACAGAAGACTTATAACTACCCTGACCTGGACAGCAGGTCGCTCTTCAGTGACAGGGGCCTAAGGGTGAAGACCAGGGGATCGGAAGATAAAGACAATAGGAAAGTTTGGGACCAGGAGGTCTTGCACAAGCTACGTCTCATACCTATCGAGTCTATTAAGAAGGACAGCGTCTTATATATAGTTTGCATCAGGGGAACGGGACAGAGTCAGCCAAAAACCATCATGCAGTGGGGCGAAGTCAGCACAAAGCTAGTCAAACAATGTTACACAAAGGGAACATAGGAGATCCCAAGTACATCGCAGACTGAAAACACAGCAGCCTTGGGGCCTTCAGAGGGAAAAGTCAAGTTTCCAGGAACTGAAACCTTAACTCTTTCGAAGTGTTGGCCTTAGACCCAGACTGAACCTTGCCAAGTATGCCACTGGGCAAGGACACAGAACCAGGTTCCATTAGTCCTTTCATCAGGCCTCTGAGAAAACCTTGGATCAGCCTGACTCACAACACTACCTAATGGTAGTCCTAGAGGGAGTGCTCAACCTATTTTGGTAATTTGTTTCTTTCTGTTGCTGTGATAAAAATCCTAATAAAAATCAACTTAGGGGATAAAAGAGTCTATTTTAGCTTGTAATTTCAGGTTAGAATCCATCTTTCTATGTTGGAGGTAAAGGCAGGAGCTTCAAATACAGGGTGGTAGTATGACATCCACAGTTAAGACTAGAGAGAAGTGAAAACCTGCATGCTCACATGCTTGCCTACTCATCTCCATTTCTCTACTCTTACATAGTTCAGGACCATCCATCCCTGCCTAGGGAATGATGCCACTCACAGTGATCTGGGTCTTCCCACATTAGTAAACTTAATTAAGACAATCTCCTACAGATATGCTCACAGGCCAATGCAATGTAGACAGTCCTTCATGGAAGCTGTCTCCCTAGGTGATGCTAGGTTGTGACAAGTTGATGATCAAAACTAACTATCACATTTTTCTTTGCAGACACCCATAGAGCCTAGTAGGAGATTCTCCTGTATGGCAGTCTACTGGGGAATACTGATGGTCTCCCTCATGTGGCCTGCCTCCCCTCCCTATCCCTATTCCTCTCCCATCACCCAGTCCTCATAACTCATACCCTCTCCCCACCACAGATTTGAATGAGTGCGACATGAATCCCTACCTCTGTCTCCACGGGAACTGTGAGAACACAAAAGGATCCTTTACCTGTCACTGCCATCTAGGCTATATCATCAGGGAGGGAGCTACAGGCTGCTCTGGTGAGTGAAAAGTCATCCAGGTGGAGCTGGAGAGATCCAAAGAGCTAGCTTGAAGATCGTTAGCACTGTCTCCATGCCTTAGGACAGAAGGCAACCTGAACTCATTCTTACAGTTTCCACTAATGAGATCTCTTGGCAATAAAGTACCCTTGGGAGCCTCTTAAATAGCTCAGTCGAGGGAACCCCAAAGGAGAGAGCAGCATCCCCAAAGCAAGCAAGCCAGATGGTTTTTGCACGATACAGGGATTAGCATTTAAACATCTAACTAGTTAGAGAATTCACATCTCAGATCAAATACAAATTAGCACACACATGGTGACTTAGAACCCCAGGATATATTCTCGCTCCAGAATTACAACTAGGAATCTGGAATCAAGGCATGGGCAGGGTTGGTTTCTTCTTGGTACAGAGAGAGAGAGAACCTGCCCTAGGCATCTCTCCAACTTCTGGCTGTTGTTGGTAATCTGTGGTGGAATTTGATTCATAAGAACATTACACCCACTGATGTCTTTATACTTGCCTGGTGTTCTCTGTTTGTCTGTGCCCAAATTCCCCTCTTAGAAGAGCTAATTGGATCAAGATACAAAACAATCCATGATAATGCTGTAGCTCAGTGACATCTACAAAGATCATTTTTAACTAAAGTCACATTCATAGATGTGAGAGGTCGTAATTCTCTCTCTCTTTCTGTGTGTGTGTGTGTGTGTGTGTGTGTGTGTGTGTGTGTGTGTGTGTGTGTATGTGGTGTTGTACCTGCAAAGATACAAATGTGTTTTTGTGGGAGGGGTATATGTTCAAGTGGATGTGTGTGCTTACAGAGACCATAGGTCAACCTTGTGTCATTCCTCATATCTACCCTGCTTTTTTGAGGCAGGGTCTCTCACTGAACTTGAGGCAGGACAATTAGGCTAGGCTGGCTAGCCAGTGAAAGTGAAGAAATCTTTCTATCTCTGCTTCTCCAGAGGTAGGATTATAAGCATACACCACCATGCTCGACTTTTTATGTGGGTGCTAGAGATTGAACTCAAGTCCTTAAGGTTATATAGCAAGCACTTAACCAACTGAACTGTCTTGCCAGCCCACACAATTCTTTAAACATTTTGTTTACTTATGTATGTATGTATGTATGTATGTATGTATGTATGTATGTATTTTGAAGCACCCAGGACCTTTCTCATGCTAGGCACATACTCTACCACTGAGCTGCACATCCAGTCAAACTCCCTTACTTCTTTGAAGTTATTAGGGTTGATATAAAATTTTATTTTAAAATATATTTATAATCGAACATAGTGGCTCACATCTGTCATTCCTGTACTCTGGAGATTGAGGCAGAAGGGTCTCAAGTTCCAGGCCAACCTGTTCTACATTGCGCGACCATGTCTCAAAATGATAAAATAAAGGGCTTGGGTATGGCTCAGTGCTAGAGACCCTGCCTAGAGTGTGCAAATCCCTAAATTCAATGACCAGGCTCTATGAAGACAGACAGACAGACAGACAGACAGAGATGGATGGATGGATGACATATAACTTCTAGAAAATTTGATGAATGAAAAATGATAGACAGAAAATTTGATGAATGAAAAATGATAGACAGACAGACAGATACCTTTAAACTGATGGATGATAGACAGATGATAGAGAACTACCTTTAGAAAAATGAATTGATGGATGAATGAAAAATAAAATATATTCTTGCAAGTCAAAATGAGGAACTATATAGAAAAATATTTATTTAGTAAACAGTGGCTCACACAGGTAGCATATGTCCATTGCAGAGTTGGTAAGAGTGCTTCAAAACTGATACAGAATTGGAAAACCTGATATAGATAGGAATCCTGGTTTAACTGTTCACTGGATAATTACACTTAATGTCTACCATAGTTCTCTCACGCTACATGCTACTAAAATCGTTTCTGAGGGATGCTAAGAGTCAGGCCTAGTGGGCTTGGGGCTGCTTTCTTGGGCTATAGAGGAAAATGGAAGGCCCTTAGGTCACCACTCATCCATTCATCTTTCTATTGCTGCTTCTCTGAGTCTTCCCTGCTGTGACTGTTTCCTCCAATATTCCCTCTCCCCTCAGATGTGGACGAATGTGAGTTTAGGAGACACGGTTGTGACAGGCACGCCTCCTGTCTCAACATCCCTGGGAGTTTCAGCTGTAGGTGCCACCCAGGCTGGGGTGGGGATGGCTTCAAATGCCACGGTGAGTACCTTGGGATAGGATTAAGGGTGGAGGACTAGGAGATGGTTTGTGGGGACCATGTAGGGCTGGGACTGGAGAGGCAGCCTCCCCACAGCCTCAGTGCACATACCAGGGGATCCCGGCTCTATCTGCTGCAGACCTGGATGAATGTGCCATCCAACAGCATCGTTGTGACCCAAATGCCAACTGCCTCAATACTGTGGGCTCTTACCACTGCACCTGCCAACCAGGATTTGTTGGAGATGGCTTATTCTGTGAAGGTGAGGGAAGGGCAGGGCCTGAATGGGACAACACAGTGCCAGGGTTGTCTTCCCTTGCCCCATGGGTACTAGAGAGTCTGTCCTTAGCCCCCAGAGCCACTGTCTGCATGCCCACCTGTCCTGTCTCTTGGTTACCATCTTTTTTCTTGCTATTTTTTTAGTTATTATTATTACAGTGTGTGTGTGTGTGTGTGTGTGTGTGTGTGTGTGTGTGTGTGTGTGTGTTTGTGTGTGTGTGTGTGTGTGTCTACAAATTTGTGGGAGGATGCACTCATGTGCAGGTACACATATACATGAGTGTGTGTGGAGGCCAGAGGTTAACTTCAAGTACCCTTCCTCAGGAGTCATACACCTTGGGCTGTTGGTTGGTTATGGGTTTTCGTTTGGTTGGTTTGTTGGTTGGTTTGGTTTAGCTTTCAGTTGTTGTTGTTGTTTGTTTGTTTTGTGTTTTGTTGTGTTTTGTTTTCTTTTGTTTTGAGGCAGTTTTTCTGGTTGGGACCCCTAGGACTTGCCAATTAAAGCTATGATTGTTGGCCAGTGATCTCCAGGGATCCAGGGATCTCCATCTCCCCAGAATGGATTACACATTTGTGCCCTCACACCTGCCTGTTTTCACCTGGATGCTGGAGTCAGATGGATTTTTACATTAGTAACAATTAGTATGGCAGGCACTTTACCAACTGAGCCATCTCCCCAGCCCTTTGCTCCCCAGTTCTTCCATCGCTAGTTTTTCTTTATATTCTACACCACCATAGTCAATCTAATCCTCTTCTTATTTCCTTGGTTGTGACTAAGTCCCCTGTGTGCAGCCGGCTGGAGTCTATGTGTCAGTGGTCACCTTTTTACTTCTAATCCCCCATCTTGGTTATCTGCCTATTCTGAGTTAGCATCTGAGTTCTGAGGGCTCCCACTTGGGATTCTGGGTGAGAGTAAATGGTTAAATCCCTGGTACTTCCTGCCCATCCAGTGTGGGTCCTAACCTAGTTGGTCACCAGCCTATGTTCTTCATGGTCCCTCAGACAAGGATGAATGCATGGAGAATGTGGGCCTCTGCGAGAACGGACAGTGCCTCAATGTACCTGGCGGGTACCACTGTGAATGTGATATGGGCTTCAGCCTTACCAAGAACCAGCTGGCCTGCTGGGGTAAGTCTCAGCCTAGCCCTGTCCAGCTCAGCAGTGTGTGGAGTGGGCAAGTTTCCAGAGCATACTATCAAGCATAGTAGGCTGAAATGAGGTCCCTGCAGATGTGGACGAGTGTGCTCTTGGGAACTTGTGCGTGTTTGGGAATTGTGAAAACCTGCCTGGAATGTTCCGCTGCAGCTGTGATGATGGCTATGAGCTGGACCAAAGTGGAAGCAACTGCACAGGTATGGAGTCGGCTTGGCTGGGGAGTAAGAGCACAGGACTGAGAGTAGGGGCCACAGCTTGCTCCCACACTACACTCACCTTGACTTCTCTTCTAGAATAGTTTCCATCGCTCCCTTTGTGTATATGTACATATTTGGGGGTATGTACATACGTATATGCGTCTGGTATATGTGTGTGCTGAATGTGCACATGAGGCCAAAGGAGGATGTCAGGCATCCTGCTCTATCACTCTCCATCCTTTTCCCTTGAGACAGGGTCTGTAGCTGAGCCTGGAGCAAGGCTGGCAGCCAGAGAGCTGGAGCAATCCTCCTGTCTCCACGATTAGCCCTCCTATTACAGGAGAGTATTCAAGCTCTTTACATTGATGCTGAGAATTTGAACCCAGGTCCTTGTGCTTACATGAGTGCTCTTACTCACGTAGGCAATTTCTTCAGCCTTATCACTCCTTTATTTTAAAATTTTGTTCTTAGATTTATTTATTTTATATGTATGAGAGTTTTGCCTGAATGTGTATAAGTGTACCACATGCATGCCTGGTGCCCATGGAGGATAGAAGTTAGAGATGGTTGTGAGCCACCATGTGGGTGCTGGGAACTAAACTCAGGTCCTTTGCAACAGCAACAAGTGCTCTTAACTAGCGAGCCATCTCTCCATCCCCACTTTCTGTTTTTAATCATCGTGATTTATTGCTGTTTAGTTTCATTTCTGGTGATTGATAAAATATCCTGACAACAAGCAACTTAGGGGAGAAAGAAGTCAATTTCCACTCACAAGTCTGGGTTATAGTCTACCACTGTGGGCTAGTCACAGCAGCGGGAGCTTGAGACAGCGAATCATATCACATCCGCATCAAAGAGCAGAGAGAGAAGAAACGCATGCATACCTGCTTCCTTGCTTGTGCTCAGCTCCATTTACCACTCTTATAAGAGCTTAGGGAATGGTACAGCTTGGTCTTCCCAAATCAATTAATTTAACCAATACATTGTCCTCAGGCATGCCCTCAGGACAATCAGTATAGACAGTCCGTCACTGAAACTCTCTTCCCATGTAATTCTAGGTTGTGTCAAGTTGATCATTAAAACTAACCATCCCAGCACTCGGGAGGCAGAGCCAGGCGGATCTTTGTGAGTTCGAGGCTAGCCTGGTCTCCAAAGCGAGTTCCAGGAAAGATGCAAAGCTACACAGAGAAACCCTGTCTCGAAAAACCAAAAAAAAAAAAAAAAACTAACCATCTCAATTGCCCTCTCACCATCCCTTGAGCAAATGCAGTGAATAAATGAAGTACCCTCTGCACCACACCTGCTAAAATGGTCCCCTACCCCAGCGTCTTTAATAACAAACAGATGATAAAAATTTTCAGCATTTTAAATAGGTGTCTTTTGCCACCACTAAGCTTTCTCACAGATGAAATGTAAATAGATAAGCTCAGTCATGTGTCAATAAAACTTTACTGATACAACCAAGCAGTGGGCCACATTTGGCCCTTAGAGTGGTTTTCCAACCCCTGGCTCAAAGGTGTTTTCTAAATCTTAGTTTCATATGTTGGCTCTGGGAAACTCAGGATGGGATAATGTGGAAGGAGATAAACCTAGGCCAAATGGAACTGAGCAGAGGAAGGGAGAGGGCTGAATGGCTAGGGCAGACTCTTGAGACCATGTCCTGTTTAGTGTCATCCTAGGGAAGGACAAACATTCATACTCCAGCACCTGAGTGGGCCCACTGAGATCTGTGGCCACTCAGGAGAGAGGGAGGGATAGGGTGCAGTGAGGGCTCCTAGCTGACAGTGGTGTGTGTCCCTCACAGATGTTGATGAGTGTGAAAATCCTGCGAACTGCATCAATGGCCTGTGTGTTAACACCCCTGGCAGCTACCTCTGCAACTGCCCCCAGGACTTTCAGCTTAACCCCAGTGGAGTGGGCTGTGTTGGTGAGTCTACACCTGCCAGCAGCTGGGGAACTCAGGAGTCAGTGTTGCTGGCTGGGCTATTGTCTGGGCCACTCTGGGTGTCAGCTTGTAAAGATCTTCCTGCTCCCAACAGGCAGGACAACTGTGGGCTGGGAAGTCACCTATTGTGACACTGCCTTCTGGTCTAGACACACATGGTCACATACACACACAATTTTACACACGTGCATACCTTCCCTGCCCAGTCAGGAATATTCAACCACTACGTACAAGCATACAGGCAAATATGGAGGCATACACATAGAAATATGCAGTCCTAGTCAAGGACAACAGCCAAAGTAGTTACATACAAAGAACTACAGGGGACAGGTCAGACAACCACACACAGACCTGCAGTTATACATACACATGGTTACACCCAGAGAAAAACACTGAGGCACACACAATTACATTAGAAACACACTTACAGAGACAATGTTTAGACACACATTACATGTAGTTTCTCAGAAGACAACAGTTACCCACAAAGAAACACAACTACATGCAGATACAGTTACACACAGAGACAGCAGCTGCATATGCAGAGACACACAGGATTACACACACACATAATTACAGTTAGAGACAGCATCTATATACATATACACAGTTACAGGCAAGTTACACATGGTATATATAAACTCACAGTTATACAAACATAGGTAGACACAGAGACAGCCATTACACGCATAGAAACATAATTCTATACACAGGCACATACAAAATTACATGTAAATACATATATATATATCCTTATATACACATAGAAACCTGGTAACATGTAGACTCACAAATGTATACATACACAGAAATGTAGTTATACACAATACAGTTATACACAAAGACAAGTTACATGCAGAGAAACACACTGACACAATATAAAGTTACACACAGAGAAACACAGTTACACATAGCACATGGTATGCACAGATTCATAGTTACAGACACGACTAGACACGTAAATGCACACAGTTACACGAAGATATACAGTTATAGTCAGATGGTAATTACACACATGTATGTACACAGCACATAGCACATACAAACTCACACACAGTTACACACGGACAGACACACAGAACAGAGAGGCCACAGTTACACACTCAGGGGTATACACACATAACCAGGAAGTCATGGAGGTCACAGAAACACATAGTTTTCCATGTGCTAACCACCCATTTTTGCCTGTGCAGACACCCTGGCCGGGATCTGTTTCTTGGAAGTGCAGGACCGAGGTGACAGTGACATTTCCTGTAGTGAAGAGATTGGAGCTGGTGTCAGCAGAGCGTCTTGTTGTTGTTCCCTGGGCCAAGCCTGGGGCCGTCCCTGCAAGCCATGTCCAATCGGCAACACCTGTGAGTCCCTGCAGGACAGTGAGCCTGAGCCAGAGACTCAGAAGCTTGCAGGTCGTCTCTGCCTGCAGAAGGCTCAGGGGGACAAGGAAATAGAACTAGGAAGGAGAAGGCTCTTGGGTCACAAAGCATGCCCTTGCCAGTTCAAAGGCCAGGCCTCTCTCCAAAGTTGCTTTCTGTAAATTCTCTGTTTATACTCAGTCCATCACTCAGTCAGTCAGCAAACATTGAGAGTTCCTTTATGCCTTGTGCTAGGGACTAGAGATCCAGAGAACTGTAAGTCCCAAGTAGGGTACAGGTTTGGAGGATGAGTAAAGTGGAAAGGAGTGAGGTACAGTAGGAACAGGATCCCTCAAGAGCCACCTATCCATGCACTGGATGGGAATCCATGTTCATACACACACCCCCAACACAAACATATACTGAATCTCTAGGCAGCTCCACAAAACTGAGGATTTGAGTCATAGTCAGTTCAGCAAAGCAAAGGAAGGGGGGCCATGTTACATCTTTTTCAAGGAGCCCTCTCCTATCAGCTAGGTTTTATCCAAGTGCCTCTCTTCACTGCCCCTCATGCACCCTGTTTCCCTTGCAGCAGAGTATAGGACCCTGTGTCCCGGTGGTAAGGGTTTCCGGCCCAATCCCATCACTGTGATTATGGAAGGTAAGTTCTGACAGACTGTTGATCCATATACACACTAATGGGTCTTTCATCCACACCTTGCCAAGTGCCCAGGTGGGCAGCCTGGGCGAACATGTCCTCCCACTTGGGGGCTTTGTTGCAGAACCAAATTATGCATGAAATTTTTACTCTGTTCTGTCATTTCTTCTGTCCATTGTTGATTTGTTAATTGAGCTTTCCATCTACCTACTCTTCCATCCATTCATTATTCTATCCCTCCATCCATCCGTCCTTTCAAACAACCAGTCAGCCAGGCAGCCAGCCTCCATTCACCTATTCACTCATGGATACCTACCCACACATCATCTATTCATCCATCCATACATCCGTCTTCCATGATCATCTGTAATCATTCATCCATCCATTCATCATCCATCAATCCATCCCATTTCCCACCCATATATTCCATTCATCCCCAACCTATCTATCTACTCACCTATCCACTTAACCACCCATATCATACACCCATCCTCTGTCATCAGCCACCTTAGTTACTTTCCTACTGCTGTGATAGGATACCATTACCAGGGCAATTTATAGAAGAAAGAGATTGTTTAGAGCTTATAGTTCAGAGGTTAGAACCCATTACCATCACGTCAGGGAGCACAGCAGCAGGCAAGCATAACCTCCTCCAACAAGGCCACACATCCTAATCCTTTCCAAACAAGTCTACCAACTGGGAACCAAGTATTCAAATATATGAACCTAGAGGTCCATTCTCATTCAAATCACCACACCATCTACACACCATCTATTCATTCAGTTACCCTCACTAATTCATCTACTCATCCATCCATCCATCCTTCCATCTCCAAGCTTACATCCATTTTTTCATATACTCCACTGACTCATCTTCCATCTACCAATATTATCTGCCCATCCTCTGTCCGTCTAACCACTTGCCTCTCTACCCACCCTTCCATTCATCCACACGTGACCTTCTCATCCACTGACCCACTTGCATATTTGCTCAGTCACTACTTTCCATATCCAGCCATCGATGCGCCCATCAATTCTGTTCTTGGGGAGTGATGGTGCTGGAAAATATACTCTAACCTGAGAGAACTATCATGCATGATAAGATGAAAATAAAGGAGTTGGGTTCAGACCAGCACTGACTCAAGTGTCCAGACTTTGAGATAGATTCTCCACATGCCCAATAGTCATGGAGATAACTCTTGGGGGATACTTGAAAGAGCCCATAGGATCCCAGAGCAGCTTATGGGGATCCCTCGAGTTCTCTGCTGGATTTAGCTCTTACTCAGCTTCCTCAATTCCTGACAGACATCAACGAATGCCAGGAGCTACCCAGACTATGCCAGGGAGGCAACTGTACCAACACCTTCGGTACCTTCCAGTGTGAGTGCCCTCTTGGATACAGCCTCAGTGAAGATACCTGCACCTGTGAAGGTGAGTGTGGACTCTACCCAGGCTAGCCCAGGCACTTCCTCTCCATCTCTGACATGCTGCTCTGCCAAGCTTTCTAAGGTCAGGGGTAGAAGGCTAATGGGTGGAATGGCCTCCCTGCTTTACATCCTGCTACCCCACTTTTCTCCCTCATCAGTCCAGCTCCCTTCCTTCTTCCTTCTACTCACTTGGAAGTAACATAGCTTAATATCAACCTTGATATTCCTCCCTTGAGCCAAAGCCGACCAAGATCCATGGCTAACTGTGGGAAAGGAAAGACATAGAAGGAATAGTCTCATTTTGGTTCAAACACACTTCACATTTCTCTCTATTGTCCTGAATTGAGCATTGTAGTAGTGGCCTAACAGTGACTCTGGCCAGGACTGTGAGTTACCACTGTGCTGACTATCCTCAATTAATATCTAACCACTGCAATATTCCCTAAGGAAAGTTTTTTCTATTATAATAATAATTTCTATTATAATAATAATTATTATTATTATAATAGCCTGAGCCATAGACCAAACAGTTTGTAATTAATATAAGCCTCTGTGTGGTTTTTTTTTGTGGGGGGACCTAGCAGCTGTGGGACACAGGAAAAATTCCAGTTACACCAATCAAGAGGACTCAGGGTAGTGGCAGGAACAGAGACCCTAACTCAAGCAAGTTGGAAGGAGAGTATCATCTAGGTGGTGTGGGTCAGCTTGAGCCTGGCCATTCTGCCCCTGAAGTCTGAGCTCTTTGATGCAATCAATATGCCACATCCACCCAGCCTCCTGGAGAACAATATGAATGGATGGATGGATGGATGGATGGATGGATGGATGGATGGATGGATAGATGGATGGATAGATGATTGAAGATTTCATATATATGTGTGTATGTATGTGTGTGTGTATAGAGAGAGATTATATATATATATTATACATATATATATAGAGAGAGAGAGAGAGAGACACAGACAGACACACAGACAGACAGACAGACAGAAAATCAGCTTGTGTTGAGATAGTAACAGTAGTTGCTTGGCCTTTGTGGCTGGTGCCTCAGTAATTGGAGTAGTCTCACAGTGGCTGGGTCACACTAGAGAGACCAACAACCTGGTAGTTGCTCAGTCCATGGTACTGGATGCCTCACTAGTCCCAGTCGGGAGCCAGAAACCTTGAGAGTTCCTGAAGGACATTGATTCTTAGTATGGAAGCCTGGAAATATTGGTTCTACTATCAGATAAGGAATCCTGAGCAGCAGCAACAGGATAAATCAACTCAGAGGCAAGAAGAAAGGTCAGGTGAGCAAAAGGCGAATCATCTTCCTCCTGCCAGGCCCTTTCTATCAGGACTGTGCCCAGAAGGTGCCACCCACAGTTTGAGTGGGTCTTTCCACTTCGGTTAAGGCAATCAGGACAATCCTTCAGGTGAGGTTTCCTGCTCATGTGCTTCTAATGTGTGGCAAGTTGGCATTAAAACCAACTGACTGTCATGGTGTATCATCCCCACAATATGCTACTGGATTCTATTTTCTGATGTGTGTGTGTGTGTGTGTGTGTGTGTGTGTGTGTGTGTGTGTGTGTGTGTTCATATGTATGTACATGTGTGTATGTATGTGTGTGAGTGTGTGGGAGCATGCATGCAGCAGCATGCGTGCAAAGGTCAGAGGAGAACTCTCAGGAGTTGATTCTCTCCTTCCACCTTGCTTGAGTTAGGGTCTCTGTTCCTGCCACTACCCTGAGTCCTCCTGATTGACTGGTGTAGCCGGAATTTTTCCTGTGTCCCGTAGCTGCTGGGTCCCAAAAAAACACACAGAGGCTTATATTAATTACAAACTGTTTGGTCAATGGCTCAGGCTATTACTAGCTAGTTCTTACATCTTAAATTAACCCATTTCTATTAATCTATGTATCACCACATGTCTTGTGGCTTTACCTGTGTTCTGTTACATCTTGCTCAATTTAGCAGCTCTCAGCATCTCTCCTGACTCAGCCTTTCTTCTCCCTGTGTCTTTGGATTTTCCGCCTGGCTATAACTTGTCTTGCCATAGGCCGAGACAGCTTCTGTAATAACCAATGGTAGCAACACATATTCACAGCCTACAGAAAGACCATCCCACAGCAGACTGCCAACAACTCTCCTGCCTCCACCTCCCGTCCCAGTGTAGGGTGTGTGTCTGTCTCTATGTGTGTGTGCATGTGTGCAGGTGCACATGAAGGTCAGAAGGTGTTAAATCCCCTGGAGCTGGAGTTACAGGCAGCTGTGAGCTGCCTCATTAGTTGCTGAGAACTGAACTCGGATCCTCTAGAAGGGCAGTGTGTGATCTTAACCACTGAGCCATTTCTCCATACCACATCTAGCTTTTAAGATGGATTCCAGGGATCTGAACACGGGCCATCAGGCTTGTGTGTCAAGTGCAAGTGGCAGATCATTTCCCCGGCCTGATAACAGTTTCATGTATTTTCTTTTATAGTGCTAGGGATGGAATCCAGGGCCTCACACATGTTAGACAGGTGCTAGGTGGCTCCATTGCCAGCCCCTCATTTCCGACCACTTACGGAAGACCTTTGCATTTAGGAGCGTTCATAAGGGGTACTGTCCTGCAGCATTATTCTTGTGGTATCTTTGTCTGTTCTGGATATGAAGGTGATTCTGATACCATTGGATGAGTTAGGAATGGTTCTCTACTGTTTCTGGAAAAGCCTGAGTATAATTGGTATTCTTTTAGTATGTGGTAGAATTCACCTGTGAAGCCATTTAGTTCTGGACTTTTCTTGGTTGGAAGGTCTTAAACTACTGTATTCCATCTCTTTCTATTATACTGCCATTCAATATCCACCCCACCCCCTTCTCTATCTGTGTGTGTGTAAATCTTTAAGATTTTAATTTTTGTGTGCACAAGTGCAGTACTCATGGAAGCCAGAAGAGGGCATCAGATCCCCTGGAGCTGGAATTACAAGTGGTTTCTAAGCCCCCCAGTGGCTCAGTGAATGTTCTGCAAGAACGTACATGCTCTTATCTGTCCAGCTCCTCTTGTGTTTATATGCTTCTAGGAATGGATTCATTTCCTCTAATCCATCTGATTCTTTGGGAGGGCATACAATTATTCTATGGTCTTGTGTTTCCTTGGCTTCTGTAGGGTAGGAAGTAATGGCCCCACTTCCTGCTTTTAGTTATTTGCATATTGTCTCTTAGTGTCAGCCCTATTCCTGTGATAAAATATCCTGACCGAAAAACAAGCAAACAAACAAAAATCCATCACAGGGAGTGTGACTGTGGGTGGTCATGCCACAGTGTGCACGTGAAGGTCCGAGGACAGCCTTGGGTCAGTCTTTGCCTTCCTCCTTACCTAAGACAGGGTCTGTGCCCTGTGTGTACCAGGCTAGCTACCTACAGCCTCCTGAGATTCTTCTGTCTCTGCCCACCCTTGCCACAGGAGCTCTGGGGTTCTATCTGTATGCTACTCTACCTAGCTTATATGTGGGTTCTGGGGATTCAAACTCAGATCCTCAAGTTTGTGCAGCAATCATTTTACCCACTGAACTGTCTCCCTGGCCCAAATGTCTGTGTAATTTTAAGCTAGTGAAACCAAACAGAAGCCAATAATGAAGTGTCTTCACTTGGCCCGGGGTAGGGAATCCCCCAAGGGAGTCACCCAGGCAATCTCTGACATTTCTCACCTGACCTATCCCACCCTCCCTCCCCTGCAGATATGGATAAGTGCTCCATACACCCAGACATCTGTGGCCCTGGCACATGCTACAACAACTTAGGAAATTACACCTGTGTCCACCCTGCAGAGTGTCTGCAGGTCAGCGGTGACGACTGTATGGGTAGGGAGTGTGATGACTGGGGCTTAGGGCTGGAAGGCTGGTGGTTGCGATGGCAGAACATGGCTGTGGGAAGAACTACCAAGAGCCTCCGAGCCTTGGAAGGTGCAGAGAGAGGTATATTTGAAAGAAGAAACAATACACGTGCGTATGTTTGACATGCTTAAATGTGACACTGAACAATACTGCAGGACTTAGGAGCCCAGAGCAGCCATAGTAATCCTCCCAGGTCATGCTCTGACCAACAAAGGCTGAAAGATACTGGAGAAGAGACGTCAGGCCAGTGTGTTCACAGGAATCCATGGATAAGCTCCCTCTCCAGTCTGCACTCTTCCTCTGACTTGGACCCATTCCTATATCTTTTCTTTTTTTCTTTTTACCTTTCATTTACTTACTTCATGGGAAATGGGGGCTGTGTGTGCATCATGGCACACATGTAGAGGTCAGAGGGTGTCAGCCTTGGTGGCAACCGTCTTTACCAGATGACCATTTCACCAATCTGAGGCCCACATTCTTTGCCCCGACTTCAACTGCAGACATGAAGAAGAGAGTGTGTTTCCGGTGCTATATCGGTGCATGTGGGAACAAACCGACCTTCAGTGTGACCCAGAAGATGTGGTGCTGCTCCCACAACATGGGCAGGCCTAGAATAGACCCTGTGAAGCCTGTCCACCCCTGCCAGCTGTGAGTTCCCCTCCGCAACCACTTTCTCAGCCTAGTGCCTCCCAGCACAGTACAGAAGGACATAGTATAGTTGAGGCTTCTAGGCCTGCTTTGTTCTCTGTGTGTGCCATATATGTGGATGTGTCTTCATGTGGTATACACATGTATGGGTACCTACCTGTTTGTGGAGGCCAGAGATCTACCTGGGGCTTGGTTTTATTTGTTTGTTCAAAGGCAGACAGCCTCCAAGGACCCACCCACCCCCAGTGACCCACTTACTTGAGTTAAGCCCCACTCACCTCCTAAAGATTCCACAGTCCCCCAAAACAGCACTACCGGCTGGAGACCAATCACTCAAACACCTGTGGGGAACATTTCACATTCAAGCCATGGCACTAAGTGTGAGGTTTGGTGGCTGTAACAAAATAGTTGAGACTAGATTACTTATAAACAATAGGAGGTCAGGGTTGGAGAGAGGGCTTAGCATGTACTGCTCTTCCAGAGAACCCAAGCTTGGTTCCCA